TTCTGGATCGTTCGTCACTCTCACCAGTTCCAGACTCTCTCGTGGTGGAAGGATTGTTTGTGAGGCGCAGGAGACTGCTGTCGAAGGTCATCTGGATCGTAGATTTCTTTTTTCGACTTTGTTTTGGAAGGAATTGTAATTTAACAAAAAAAAGTTTTCTTTTGGATAAATAAAATTGTAGATATAGAAATTGAAAAAGTCATAATTCAAGGGTTTGTTACTAAAATTATTGAATTGAAAATGGAACTGCAGTGGCTTCTGTAACGGATGCAACATGGAAGTCAGTGGTGCTTGAATCGGAATCCCCTGTGCTAGTTGAATTCTGGGCCCCATGGTGTGGTCCGTGCCGGATGATTCACCCTATAATCGATGAACTGGCCAGGCAATATACTGGTAAGCTCAAATGTTACAAAGTTAACACTGATGATTGCCCTTCCATTGCAACCCAATATGGGATTCGAAGCATTCCCACTGTTATCATCTTTAAAAATGGTGAGAAGAAAGAGGCGATTATCGGTGCTGTTCCCAAAACTACCTTAACCACCACTATTGATAAATTCTTGTAAGTGAAACAAGCACTTGCTGCCAATAAACTATTTAGCTGCTAGTGCTCCATCTCCAGATGCTGCTGTATTTTTATGTTACCTTCAGAAAATATTAGTAACTATATGTGTCTTGTCTTACGTAGCTGAATGCATGTTTGGTAGCTTGTTCTTGGTTAGTGTAGATTAATATGAGAAGTATTGGCTTATCCTTCTTTTCATCCCTCCTGAAGTTTGGTTGTTGTGTGCGAAATGCATTGGGAACTGAAAACTGACGATGCATTTGGGTTCATGTGGTTCGATTATTTGACTACTTCAGTTAATTTTAAAATTTTTAAAATTTCAGTTTTGATTTGGTTTGATTTTCTTAAGCTAAGGAAATCAAGATGACCAAATTGATTTTTTTTAATTATTTCACATGATCCACGTACAGAAAAATATATGGTATGAGATTGGTGTGAGTTCTTGTGTCTTCTACTGTCAAGGAAACTGAAAATTTCAAAACTAACCTATGATACTATATACTGAATTTAAAAATGAAATGCTTGCCGAAAGATCTTGATGAGCTGGTGGTGGTGTGGCCAATCGGTCTATAGTTTTACATAATGCTAATATTGATTGTTGGGAATATTTGGTCTTTGGATGCTTTGAAGAAAATATATGAGAAATTACATGAGTGCCCACCTTCTTCTTGTTTTAACTGTTCTTTCTTCAGCGAATTCTACAAGAAAATATAACTTGGTTTAACTAATAATTTCTTGCTGGTGCTCAAGAAACCACCTCATGACTTAAATTTTCTTTTGGAGAAACCCTATACTAAAGCGTATTGCTTTAGCAACTTTGTTTAAAAAAAATTCAAAACCCATATGAGAATCTTGGAGACTTGACTCATAAAAGGTAATAAATTTGTTCTCTCTCCATGTTACCATCCGAAGTTCAAATCATGGGAGAGCCTGTAAAAACATACAATACAGAATTAAAATTGTCTGTGAAGATTCTGTCCGCATTGAAAAATGCTGACAGAATATGCAATGAAATAATATCGTCAGAAACTTTTTTGTTGGGTTTTCTTTGATCGTCGACACTTTCATTGACATTGTAAAATATTGATAGAATTGCCGAAAAAAATATTCCGTCGGGATTGAAAAGAATATTTTGCTGGCAATTCCATCAGTTTTTTTTTTTGGCTACAGTCTTTTATCTAATAATTGCTCCCAGAAAACTCATATTCACAACAAAAATTCAAGACCTATAAGGAGCTTTACACCTAAATAATACTAAATTTACACAGAGTTGTGGGTTTTCACAATTAAAAGATTTAAATAGCAAAATTATATAAATATTGCACAATAATAAGATATATATAATCATATAGATGGTGCCTAACAATGAGATATATATAATTCCATATGCAAATATTTTTTTCTAAAAAGAACAATACATTAAAATATATTAGTAAAAACAAATAACATCACGAGACAAGAAAAAATATTTATATGGAGAGATCTTCCTTCCATTCTACTATCCTTTTGCCTGAAATGAGTTTTATAAAAAAAAATATTTAATGCATTATTCTTAGTGGTTGAATCATCCAGGTACTTACAAGAGAACAATGAACATAATTCAAAACTAAAATATAATATCAAATATAAATTTAATTATTTATTAAAAATAAATCATAATTAATCTATTAACTCACAATATATCATTATTTAATCATTTCAACAATAATTATTATCACACCATTATTAACTACACCACCACCATCATTTTCTTTATCATTACAATTATCATTTTGCTAACATCTCATCATAACTTTATTATACATTCACTATGAAATTAATAAAAACCATCTCATTACCACTACCCCTAATCATTATCATCACCTCACCACCATAACTCCTATATTTTTATCAATTTAATCATCATTTTATCATTATCTCATCATAACTTTACTATTCCTTCACCATCAAAATAATAATTATCATCTCATTGTTGACGTCAGTAGTTATTGTCACTACCCTATTATTACAATAGCTAGTTATCACATCATAATTATTATCATTACTAATATTATCATTATAATAACAATTATTATTGATAATATTATTACCATAACTATCTTTATAAATATCATCATCACAATTTTCATATCATAGTATCATCAATAAATAATAAAACCAATTAATTCCCTAATGGTTACTAATTACTTATTAATTATCTATCATTTATTCAATTCAAACTTATTCCATCTAAATTAATACATTTAATTATTATTAATCCTACAAGAAATCATTTTTCTTTAAATTTCTAACTTAATCATAAAATTGATAACAAAATAATTAGTACCCATTATATTACCCATCATTTTTTCAATTCTAAAACATCCAAGTCATAAAATCACACTTAATTTCATCAAGCAACAACTTATATCAATATTCTTTAAATCCCAAACAAACTCTAAAATACAATCCACATATTAATATAATAAAATTATCATTATAAAACAACCAAAACACTTAAACAAATAAAAAAATTATAATAACTACAAACAAATTTCAATAAATTAACTTTAAACATAAATGAATGGATTTGTTTATTTGGTGGAGTGAAACTTGACAAAAAATAAAATCAATATAGTAAGATTAGGTCAGCATAAGCTAGTTGAGTGGACAGACTTTAGAGAGAGGCTTCTAAAATTTGAAAAAATAAGGTCAGAGTTTAGACTGAAATCTAATAAGAATAAGAAGTGGGGGGAGAGAAAAAAAGATTGTCAGGTTTTAAATGCTTTTAAAATCACCTACAGAATTTTCATCAAGTCAACAATACCAATAAAATTGCTGACTAATATTTTTTTTTCTTTTTTATTTCATTGTCTTTTCTGTTAGAAATTATTAACAAAAATTCTTCAGTGCAATTTCCATTGATAAACAGTAATAAAATATTTTTTTCCGATATATTTTGATATTTTTTCCAATTTTCTAGTATTGATAACAACAGGTATTTTCTCTTATTACACCAAATCATCCCCCTTTTTTATTTTTCAATAGGTATCTCTTGGATAGCTTTCAAAACCATGTCACCAACAAATTCCGCTGCGAAAGGAAGCTGGCAAAAACATAAAGGTTAGTTAAATCTGATGCCATCAGTTATAAACAAAGAGACATCTTTGAGATCAGATTGTGAGATGGTACAACTTTCTATGAACATCGATCCTCAAACTGCCAGTAATACACGCAACCACTCCGGGAATATTTAACATCATCGAAAGGGTAAGGGTCTGGGAAACGGTACGTAGTGGGAGAAGGAAAGTTACCTTCGCAGAGACAACCACTGCGACGTCCACCAAAACCTTGAACAATGGTTTAAAGAATTCACACGGGCAGGCATGCAACCATATACAACATTTTGAACACACAAAAAAAATAAAGAAAAAAAAAAGCCACACGACTATCTGCAACTCTCTTTCGTTCCTAAAATTTACTTCATCCCAGATACAGTAGCGGGTATGGGATGATGGTCTAGATAATGCTGCCGTTTTAAATAGTAACGCGGCTCCTGAAAATCGATGTACACAAATGCATAATTCGAGTTACTCGAGAAGTAGCGTGAGGGAACTTTCAGCATATCATGCAATTTCTTTCTTCCCATTTTATCAAGAAAACTCTGCCTGCAGTAGTAGTGTTCACATCTGCATCTGGACTACCTGGTCCAATCAAATTGTTGGGTGCATTGAGTTACGTTGTGGTGTTATGGAAAGGGATTCAATTTTCTGATCAGAGACACTGTTCTGAACCTGAATTCCTGTCTATGTGAAATCGGTGCATTGTTTATTCTCAGAACAGATCAACATGCTGGCACCAGGAACCGTGAGTGCTTCATGACCATAAGCATAACTCAGAGATCCAAACTTTGTTTCATCATCATCACTATCAATATATTTTGGAGTTACACGGTTCTGATAACTTCTGCGCTGAACAAGATATGCATTGAAGTAATAGCTTATCAATTCTTCCCTGGTCTTTCTAGGAAAATACTTACGTTTGTTGTCCCAAAAGCACTTGCCTGCAGATTGAGGGTTAAACCTGACCATATCCTTGAATATCTTTTCTTCTTCAGGGGTCCATCTAAGTGAAACTTCTTCACCCATGTGATCAAACCGCCAATGATAGAACAAAGGACCCAGTTCGAGCTTCAATTTCATTCTTTTTTCAGCAATATGAAATCTAACACATCCAACTGAACCTGGAAGCTGACAACCACATAGACTGATCCCTCCCTTTCCGATTGTATCCATTACAACTGGAGCATTATGGTTTTCACATTCCAAAGGCCATAGTCGTGTGCCCAGCCATTTAGAGGCACTCTCAGAAACCACACCAGTCCACTCAGGGACTTCAGCTTGGAAGAGAGGACCCACAGCCACATGCCTACGGACATGCTTATCCCCAGATCCAATGAGCGTTGTGTGCTTGGATGATAAATCATCAATGACAAGTTCTTGCTCCTTACAGGCGTTCTCACACTTGAGAAGACTTGCTGATTTACTTTGATGGGCTGAACATGAATTACAACAATAGCATAAATGAGGTTTCACTATAGCAGGAAGCCGCTTGCTGCATCTTGACCTCTCGGCAGACTGCTCACTTAGAAAACTAACATCCTCAAACATGGATGGATGCATCTTTTGATTGTTCTGTAAGTTCATATTGCATACCTATACGAAAACAAGTAAAATCATTTAGCTACAAAAGAACTTCCAATTGGAATTTTCCAATGAACCACAACAAGCATGACATAAATCTTCACAATTATTGCCCTGTTGAGATAGTTTAGAACAAAAAAAAAAAATACATTGCATATTGAATCATTGCAATAATAGTTCAGGGAGACAGGAAAATCAAATAACTTCACAAGGCCATTAGTTGGCCATTTGTATTTGTCTCTGATAAATGCCCAAGTGCATTAAAATATAATGATCTATCACAGGCTATCAAGTGATTTAGCCCAATATCAACAGCAGAGAACAGAAAAAGCTTCAGGTTTAAATTATCTGGAAAGGTTGCTATAAAGTTACTATAAAAAATGACATCTTATAGGGAATTTTAGCTTATGCATCTTGACCGGGATAATAGTCATTGAGATGTTGACTTACATCATGATATCTAATTTTGTTGAGAGGTCACGTGGTAGTTTGAAGAGGATGGGCTTTTAAGCTTTGAGATCCTGCAAAACAAAGGTTCCTTCCTCGGAGGTACTCTCTAGTGCTTGGGCCCATCTAGCTACCATGTGACCTTTCTGTAACATTAGATTTGTGATGATGTCAATATCTCATATTGATTAGGAGTCGAATGTGTAAAATAGTTATAAGGATTAGGTGCAATCTCTGCCCCTAATAGGCATATATTACCAACGAAAATCACCAAGCCTATAAGCCAAGTGCAAGGCCTAAAATGACAAGACCATTAGGGGAGCTAACAACGTAGCAGATGTGGGCTAACATCATTAATATTAATTAGAAGAGATTTCATTCTAGTTTTCTTCTTAATTTCAAGTTTTCTTTTTTCAAAAGAAAATTGCAAGATGCATTCATATGCTAAAAAAAATAAAAAACAAAAGAAATAAAGTTTCTATCAAGAAAATAAAAACTGTCTGCATTATAATTATTTTCTCTGTAGAAAAATGCAAGAATATTCTATCGTATTCATCTTAATGTTTTGCATTTATGATAATTTAAATGAAATCTTAGCATATTAATTTTTATTTTTACTCAACTAAAAATTTATCAAAGAAAAAAAAATCTAATTAACTCTTCAAAAATTATTAAATTTTTATAGAAAATATTAAATTTACAATATCAACTAAACATATATAGAAAAACAATCTGGTAATTTTATATCCATTAAAGCACGTGTATAAAGGGGGTGAAATTATATGTTTTTAATTTTAGTTTGGAAACTAATGTTTTCCATCTTGAAAATTGTCAAGAATTTACATGTGAAAACTATGAAAAATAAGTCAAGTGTATTTTTCAAACCCGGTACAAATTTGATGAAGAAATATAACATTTGAATAGAAATTCTTGTACCATGTTCATTGCGAACATATCCATAACAATTATCTTGTGCATTTTAAAATTAGCAATCGGTCAATAATCTATTCAAAAATAAAAAACCTTGCATGGAGATTTGAGTGAGCCTGAATATATATTAGTATTTAAAACAGTGAAAAAAATAGAAACTACGTCTTAAGTATAGAATTTACCTGCACGAGCGATTGTTCGATGTTAGGATTGACATGCCTTCTTTGCAAGAGAGCTTCTCGTGCCCTTATTGCTTGGGACCATAACTCATCACCTCTATGAATTACTCGAATAGAAGGATCATCAGGACATTTTGCAATTTGAATTACCCAGTTAAGCATTCTTGTTAGAGATTCTCGTTTTCTCTTGCGGGAATTGAATTCTTTCTTAGCAATACTTGGATCCAAGATCACAACATCATCATCACTATCATTACTGTAATTCTCCTTTCCACCATGAAACTTTTCATCATCATCACCATTCCTATCTTCAACATCATTGTGTATTCGATGTACATCTTTGGTGCCTAACAAACCTTTTTTTCTCTTCCCAGTGTCCGTTTCAATGTACCTGCCATTTACCTTATATCCTAGTGAAGCAAATTTACCATCCCCCTGCTTTCTATCACATCTAAGCGATAACAAACTTCTAAACTGCATCTCTAGCTCCAACAACGAAATACTCAAATTCCCATCACATTGATGCATCTCCTTTCTTAACTTCTCATCGCTACAAATCTTCATACATTTTTCCAACTCATACAAATACTTAATATAAATCAATTTAACAGAGGGAGAAAATTGAAGATCCAACCCTAATTCTTTAGCCACAAAGCTCCAAAAACCATTTACCAAATCAAACCCGCCTCTCTTTCTCACAACCCCAAAGAGTTTGAACAAATCTAACGATTGCCCATCACCGAGCAATGCTGGAATAGGCCTAATACACCCTCCATCTGCAGCCTCATTCAAAAAAATCGAAACCACTTCATCAAACAAGCATACTACTTTATCCTCACAATCACAATCATCCTCATCGGAATCATCAACAACAATACACTCCTTAATCTCATCCTTCATAGGATGATTAATATCTGGACAACCACCACCACCCTTGTATCTATAAATAATATCATCAGGACAATCTAAAGCAGACCCATTTTTAAAATTAACCATCCTGCCATGAACCTGATTCTTTTTTCTTTTTTCTTTTTATTTCTATCTCCTCCTTAAACCTCGTAAATCAAAAATCAACAAAAGAAAAAAAAATCCATAAAAAAGATAGCAACAAAACTCTCTTTTTATTTGCTCTGTTTTCATAAGTTAGTGCAGACAACAAAACAAGAATTTAAGAGACACAAATCTGATAAGAGAACTAAAAGTAGACATAAATCTTGAACATGATAAAAAATATTACAGGACAAGAGCAGGTGTAAGGCAACCATAACTCTACCCTGTTTTTCAAGATATTACCTCATTTCTTGGTCTTGAATAGGATTTCCTGTTCTGAGTTTTTTTCTTTCAAAGCAACCAAATATGTCCAGCACAACAAAGTTGGAAAGGGGACAAGAAGATCGAGGTTCGGAGAGTACGAAGATAAAAATGACCAGTGGCTGCCAGCACACACTAATCCAATTGGAAAGTTTTGGACATTTGGGATCTAATTGAACAGACAAAGAGATTTTATTATTTGGGTGGATGATAATTAAGATTAGTATCAAGAAAGGAATGGTAATTAAGGTAAAAAAAATCTAAACTTGGAAACAAATTAAAGCAAAATCCAATAAAAATAAACCCTTTTTCTTTTCTTTGCCAATATTTTGTGGAAGGGATAAATACTAGTAATTTGTTAAAATGACATATATTTTTATTATCACACAATTAACAAAGAGTATTGCGCTTTTCATATATATATATATATATAAGGTAGCAAAGATAAAAAAATTGGGTTCAATGAGCTTTCTTTCTTTATGACACCTATCCTTTGAAGCGCTGGATGTAATTAACATTACCATTATCATATACTTTAAACCGCCTGCTGTTTTTTATTATAGTAATAGATATATTTTACTGTAAATTGCAATAATAAAATTATTTAGTGGAAAAAAACTAGGCCTTGATATTAGAGTTTTTTTGGTTTTTTTACTGTTTTATTTATTATTAAAAAATTATTTTAGGGTATATATATATTTTTTATTTTTTTTGTGCTAGAGGTCAGTACCATCACAAAAAGCACTTCCCATCCATGAGATTTTAGAGTTTGACAATTATTGAATCTGATTGATTTTAAATTTTACTCGAAAAACTTGATCTTTATCATGGATGCTTCATTCTTAATTTTATTTATTATGTTTTTTAAATTTCTGGATTCTATATGAATTAATGCTTTTAGCAATAATCAACATGTTAAATAAGATATCAAATTAAAGCGGTTATTTAAAAAAATTAGAAAAGAGATACATTGAAAAAGAAATACTCTTGCAAAATAAATTAACAAAAAACTCTATCACAAAAAAAAGAAAATAAATAACAACAATATAGTAAAAACAGTCATAACCTCCGATCTCTGATCCCCCAGCTCCGGTGAAGGTGGTTGACACCACCCACACCAATAGAAAAAAGAACAAATTGGGCTCCCTGCAGAGTGGTCTGCACATCTCCCTACCCTGGGCGCGTGCAACAAAGCTTCATAAGCTGACCTATTAATCAGTGCGTGTAGTCCACACATAAAGGTTGTTTCTTTTTTTAGCAATTTTCTTTCCGTTCCAGTCAATTCTGACGACTCGTAAAGATCAATTTTAATCCGTATATCATCTATTTATTGTTTGAATAATTTTATTTTATAATTTATTTTGATAATTTTTTAATTACAAATATATATTGACGTGCATGTTATTTTGGATAAATTAATAATGTATTCATGATTTTCTTTTCACATTTGGTTATGCTTATTTATATTAATTAAATTAGTTAAAATATTTATAGTTATTTATGATTATTATGCTTGGTTAAATAGTTAATTGATGATGGGTTAATGTAAATTAGATAATCAAAAGTAATTATTTAGAACTCGAGTCTTTGTTTACTATCATCTTAAATTCTATAATCTAAAAAGTAGGGATTTGATTTTATTATTAAATTTAAATTTTAGATTACTATCATATAAAGTTTTACCTACAAATAAATATAATTATTTAGTTTAGATAAAATATTAGTGTATAATACAGTTTAATTTAAACTAGTTAGAATTACTATTAACCATGAAACTAGATAAAAACTTATTTTTTTTATTTTTACTTTTTTTATATAATATTTTATTGAAATGTCTCTCGTGACCTAATGATAACTCTAGTGGAGATTATTAAGGCCTAGTTTTGATTGTTTTATTTTTATTGTGAGAAGCTGAATGTGCTTTTGTACATATTTTATGTTTGAAAACTAATTAGTACATGTTTATTATTTATTATTTATATTTCTATGTTCTTGTATATATTTTTATTTATATAGTTTTTCATGCCCCTTTTCATATATCATTCATCTTTTATTAATATCATGTATTATTTTTTAATTGAATATTGGTTTGCATTCAAGCCTTTATCATATGACACTTTGTTTTTCACTTCACTTTGATTTATTTTTTATGATTTTTAGAGATTAAATTTCATTTAAAATTTAATTAATGATACTGAATATAGTTCTAAACATGAGATTTGATCAATTTAAAGGGTTCAAAGTATACTTTTTTCACTTATAATTTTTTTTTTTTTACACATGGTGGATGAATACCTAAAAGAATTTTAATTCCTTGGAATCTTTTTATAGATTAGTGTAAAATAATTCTTATTTCTGAATATTTTTTTCACTTATAATTTACAAATTTAAATTCACATTCATTCACTATTTTTTTTTTTGTTAATAATAAACAATGGATCAACATTTATCATTTCTCTTCTTCGTCATTTTACATTATCCTTTCAACATTCATCTATACTTCTTTTTTAATCATAAACTTCTTCAGATAAAGGAGCATTATCTTTAATTAAAAGAAATTAATTAAATTAATTTTTTTTATATATTTTAGTTTTAATACCACCCTCCAAATCTAAATTAGATTTTAAGTAGCTGTTCTTTAACTTCATCATTCTTCATATGAAGAAATACGAATTGTGAGTGTATTAATTTAAAAGTAATAATTGACATAATATTTAATAAAAAGAAATAATGTGAAAATGAAAGGAGTGTTCCATTGTCATCTCATTTTTGTGATTGAACTTGGCAAATAAGGTCATTTTTTATTCTAAAAAATATAAAACTTTGATTTGCTTCTCTCCTATTTTAGATCAAACAAAGGAAATGCTCCTTTTTTGTGTGTCTTATTGTTATTTTGAAATCAATGAAAGTTTTTCTATTTATTTTAAAAAATTGAATAATAACTATAATTATTTGTTAATATCTTTTTTAGAGCTATTTAATTTATGTTTCGGTAGATTACTTTGAGAAAATATATAGTAATAAAATTTTAAAATAAAGATTTTATATGAATACCTTTTTGAAAACAAAAAACTTGTGTTCTTGTATTTATTATTTTTCTTGTGTTATTTTTTGATTGTGTTAGTTAATATCAGAGCCTAACAATTCTAGTTAGTCTTAGTTATAAAACTTGAAAATCATTTCAACTAGTTACCCCAAGATTTAACCGATTAGGAGCTTGGACTAGTTTGGTAGAAGAAAAAATAGGAATGGTTTAATCTAATCTAGTTAAAAATCACGTTAACTTGTGACCTGATCAACTCAAGGTCCTAGTCAAAATTGACTCTTATTCTGTCGATTTTTTTAAAAAAAATTTTTATTGAAATAATATCATTTTGATCATTTAAAAAAATTTAAGATCATCTCAATTTGATTTTTAATTTGTGACCTTATCCTTGCTCTAAGTCAACTTCTAAATTGAGTTTTATAATTATGATAATATTTACTTGTTTTGTTTTGTGTTGTTGAATAATTATAATTAAAATAAGTGGTTGGATAACAAAATATGTTCATGTATAAAGGGAAAGAAAGGAATAGAAGACATGCATAGATCAATTGTTAAATTAACCTGTAAATTAATGGAGGTAACAATCCCGGGAGACTTTTAAAGACACATTTAAAAGGATTTTGACCAATTGAATTATACTATTGGGAATGACAAAACTTGATTGCGCAACTTACCAAACTATATTATTTTTCTAATTTTTCATATACAGAAATTCCCACTTGATAAAAAAAAGGTTCAAAAACTAGAGATACAAAAACATGTATCTATTGCAAAATTAACATGTCAAAATTAATGGAGGTAAAAACCCTGAAAGATTGCATGGAGAGTGATGGCATATCCAAGACCATCAAAAACACATTTTAGAGAGTTTTAATCAATTGAATTGCAACTTACCGAACTATATTACAAACTATTTTTGCCAGCAGTACTATTTAAGGGGAAAAAACCCAGAAAGTGTATACCATCAAAAAGAAAAACGTCCGAAAGCATATCATGAAGGTTGCTTTCCAACGCATCTACAAGAATATTCACACCATTTCGCCAGCTAACAATACAGTAAACTTTCCGTTTCTTCTTGATTAGAAAGAAAGCATAATGCGTTAGATAGAAAGGCGGCGGCCTAGTTGATTCTAAACGATGAAAAAGAAGAAGAAGCAAAATTCAATGCTAGGATTTAAATAGAGTAAAAATCAAAATTAAGTTAAAATCGTGGTAGATTCACAACCATTTGATGACTAAACAAAATTAAACTAGAAAACCTAACATAAATTTTCTGAAGGGCAAGTACTTCTGGCTTCACTATTAGAAACATGCTCTTAACTTTACCTGTACCCACAAGTGACCTGCACCATCATCACAAGTTCCAGTATCCATAAAAACTAGCAGATCCTGTTGCTAATCTCAATCAGCCAATGAATACGAGTAAAGTTTGTATAGATACACCCTCTTGAAACAGTCAGAACAATAGTAATCAGCACAAAACCTAGGACTAAAAAATGATTGATCAGCGAATAGACAAAATCAAACCTTGAAGTGTATATTAGACTACGTGTTATTTACATGAATCATCTAAACAAAAGGCCCTTCTTTTGATCCTTCCCCAACTTTCCTCACACCGATCAATTCCCCCACTATCAATCAAACTCACAAACAGATGAACTTAAGACAAAAACAACTATGTACGATTTACAGACCATTTTAATTGGTAGAAGGAAAAGGAAAGCGCAACTGCTATGAGTATTTCAGAGCATGAATTGCAGTAAAGCTATACCAGGACAAGGAGAAGGAGAAGGAAAGAAAGAGCCCACCTGCTGTTCTATTATAACCACCAAGTGATGGACATCAGTAGGGTGTTGGACAGCCTCTATCCTCTCTTCTCATCTTCTTCCTCACCGCCCCAAACTTTTTTTCACCCTCATTTCCTTTAAGATTTTTAAGGTTTGACAAAGAGAGGATGCAACAACATGGCATTCAAGGAAGGACCGACTCTTCAAAGAAAAGAAAAGGAAATAGCTACAGCCAAATCTATGGCAACCACCAAATAGCGGGCACAGAAAAGAAAAACTAAAAACTCTTGTGCATTTGTAACTTCTGCTTTGCAAACTTGATATGAAACAGCTAAGAAAAGTTGACCTTCAACAAATTTTCTGCACAGCTACTAATCAATAGGAGGGTCAAATATCATTTCCTGCAATGTGAAAAAAA